ATGTGTTGATGTAATGATGTGTTGATGTGTTGATGTGTTGATGTAATGATGTAGTGATGTATTGATGTATTATATTTATGTATTCTTTATTTTCTTTTTTGCATTTTGACTTTACTTGTGTATTTCTTACTGCAGTTCCCTATTGTAAATCTCTAATGTGACATAGGTTTACTGGCGAAAGAAAGAAATATTATTATTATTAATCTATCGTACGATAGACACGATATGTGTAACATATACGAGCCGGCGAGTTAATAAGCTACAAAGACGAAAGGAGATGAAATTAAAATATTCTTTCCAATCCATTTATTTCAATTCTGTTTAACCAAATAAAGAATAGTCGCAAGCAGTTATAGTCAGCGCATTGACATCATGCTCGCGCCATCAACGCTAAAACGAACAGAAGCGTCCATGTAACTGATGTCAGCTTTTTAAAAAGCCTCCATTTTCACTGTTCACCGACACTGATGCTTCTCTAGAGAACGTTTTCAAATACATCGTTTTAGTGTGGACCTAAGGCCAAAACGTATCAAAAAGTATGCGATAAAAAACAAATTAGTATTAATCTTTAAAACTTTATATTGGCAAAAACTGGGTCAGCATATTCATAACTATACACAAGGGTCGCTAAGAATGTTGATATGGAAATACATCAAAAATTTTCCTTTGAAAAGTCATATCAACCCCGCCTTCTTTTTAAAATAGTTTCTATAAATAGACCTTTCCCAAGATACAGTCAAGCGCTCAGGAAACTGATTTTTTATACTTGCTAGCAGCTTTTTCCTTATTAAGGTGGCTGGACCCCCTCACGCTTGACCGCTACCTTCCACTTTTGGAACGCTGGCGCATAAACGTGTTTTATCCGATTGCAAATCTTTTTTGCACATAAGTCACATAAGGATTATATTAATGTTTGATGTAATTTTTAGTGAGATCGGACGTCATAACACGTGATTATGATAAAATATTTGTTTTTGTTTAGAAAATAATTTTAGCCTTGCAGAGCGTTCAACACTAAAATTCTTCGTACCACATAATTATATACTAGATGCCTCCATTTGTAGGGATTTTTGAAAAAATCTATCTCGCTAATTATGAGATATTTGAGATTATTCAAATATATAATGGTAATTGAACTGAGTGGAGTGCAATTTGGTCTGAAATCAAACGTGCGATTACAAAATCGCACGACCGCGTAGCGGGAGTGCGATTTGTAATTGCAAGTTTGATTTCAGACCAAAATTGCACGACACGAAGTTCAATTGCCACTTTATTATATCCATTTTGAAATCACGCCATTATAATGCCTGAATAAAGATTTATTGAGTAGAACCGGATTGTAAACAGCGGAACCGGAAATGATAAATATTACATCTCATTTTGTATGCAAAAATTCAACAATAAATGTCATGTGACAAAAGTTTATCGGTATTCACGGGAGTTCTGTCAGTAAAACTACTTGGAAAATTGATCAACTACAAATCTAAATCCCCGTAAAAGTCTTTGAGAATCAGTCAACTACATAGTTTAATCCTCATCGACTCAATAATGTAAGCCCTTCGTTTCTTCTGTGGTTGAGGACTAGACTGGGCATCTTTTGTAAAGAAATTGAAGGTGCAACCCGTGTAATTTTGCGTTGGAATGGAAGAGCTGCCACTGGCATAAGAGCTAAACGCTGCCATGTGATATTGAGGACCAAAAGTTGGATGAAATGATGGGAAACCAGGCTGTGAACCAGGATTGAGGCCCTGATGCATTTGGCTTTGTTGGACGTGACACAGAGAACTTGAAGAGTTGTTGATAGACGCCAGTGGTGTTCGTTGCACAATCGCTGAATTCGATGAATTCACCTCTTGATTGACCTCTTGATTGGAGATTTCTCCTTCACTCTTTTSGTTGGGGACTTCTTTATATCCACTGATGATGTGARACAGGTCTTTCCTTTGATTCTCGTCTATTTCATCGTAGTCATCCAGCGAAGATTCGCGAGCATGGCCTGTTATTTCGCAGATAACATTACGCGGTTGACCAGATTTCTTCAATTTCGACACCAGAGTCTTCCTCATACTGTGGTTTGTCAACCTTTTATTTGTCGTCAGGCAGGAGGCCATGGACTTCATGATAGTGCCGATGGTGTTTTGTCCCATTCGGATTTTATTGTACCACACATCTGCTGATTTAGGACGATTTAKTATGCTAAGATAGAGTGGTCCTTTGTCCTTCATCCCTTCSGGTCGCTTAGACAACCACAGCTTGAAGAGTCGTACAGGATCTTTTTCTCCGCCGTCAGTGCTGTACATAACCTGCGGTGTGGTTCTTCGTCTAATTCTTAGACCACCACTTCGTGTTTTAGTGGGACCTTCACGAAATTCTACGACTTCACTGCCATCTTCTTGTTGTCTTATAATCATGTCCTCGACGTAAGAGTCGTAGTGCTCCTGGCGGCCTCGTAAACCAAGTTGCTCTGTCAAATTCTTAAAGTTGACGTTTGTCAGGACTTTGGCATTGAAGTCACCCAACTGACCTTTTTTCCATAAAGCTGACTCTTCTTCTGGTGCCAAAGGCTGAGATTTGTTAGGTCTTTTTCCCTTCCCTTGTTCACGCAGAGAAATTGCCTTCGCGTTGAGGATTCCTTGTGAGCTTTGAAAATCATTTCTCTCAAAACTACGTCAGGATACAAATTAGAACTTAAACTAATATTACACAAAATTGCAAGACTATTGAACCCATTTAAAGCGATCTAAAGCGAACGAAAAATACAGAAAACATTGATCGTCTCCCAACGATTTGATGCTCTGGGAATTCTATTGTTTGCTAATGACCATAACACCAAATTCTTTCGCACCATGCACGGTCTGATCTCATAATTAGCGAGATAGATTTTTTCAAAAATCCCTACAAATGGAGGCATTTAGTATATAATTATGTGGTACGAAGCATTTTAGTGTTGAACGCTCTGCAAGGCTAAAATTATTTTCTAAACGAAAACAAATATTTCATCATAATCACGTGTTATGACGTCCTATCTCACTAAAAATTACATCAAACATTAATTCAATCTTTATGTGACTTATGTGCAAAAAAGATTTGCAATCGGATAAAACACGTTTATGCRCCAGCGTTCCAAAAGTGGAAGGTAGCGGTCAAGCGTGAGGGGGTCCAGCCACCCAAACGGTAGAACAACCAAGGACTCAAAACTTATCAAACATTGAGTGTCCTATTTCCCTGTGTCTGTTGTCTGCGAGGCAGACCCACGAGTTAGTATCGTCCCTGTATCCTTCCTCGATTTTCCAAAATCAGAGTTTTTTTTTTTTTGCTTGTCTTTTTTTCTTTTCTTTTCTTCTTCAAAAATGTTCATGTCGAATTTGTTATAAAACGACGGCCTTTTTGTTTGCCGCTTTTCCGCACAATCCAAATATGGAATTGATCATACCATATATGGAGTGAGGTTTCTCTACTCCAGGAGTAGGCGTAGCTCAGCGTGGAAGTAAATTTGTCCTAGAAACTAATCGCGAGCCTTTAACTTTTCTACGTCAAACCAAGATGACCAACAGTCAAGTGATGAGATGGGCATTGGTATTACAACAGTACCGTTTTAGAATTCAAGCCATTCCAGGAAAAGATGATATTGGAGCTAATTTTCCAAGTAGATTCAACCCTGTGTTAATAGAAACGAAACTTAAGCCTTGGTCTTAAAGGGGAGCAAATGTCACAGGTGTGCGAATTCACGAGGTTGAGTGATGCAATCAGTTATTTACTTAGCGCATGGGAATATAATTTGACATCAGTATGAAATCAGTTATCGGTCAAGACGTTTGTGTGGAAGAGTTCCAAGCGTTTCAAATTAACTGAGGAGCTTCGAGTATAGGTAAAGGTCTATTCATCAGCTTTCAGCACAAACGCGCCGCGCGCTATGTGTTTAGAATACATGTAAATGTGTGTAGTTTGTGCATGGATCGATGATGCAACGCTTATAAGAAATGTTATTCTAATCACTAAGAGTGAAAATTTAGGAATAGCGATAAAATACACCGATTATACCACGCAAATAGGTCCATTAATTGGGAAAGGTTTAATAATCAAAGCGACAAGAAACCCGCATTTTGGAGCCAGGTTGAATGATTACTTTGAAATAGCTTTGCTTATTATGGGTTTCCTGTGGTTTGAAGTAGGCGACTAAATGCACCCTTCTTTAACAAAAGTATGGTGAACACGATGCTAACATGGAATTAAATTTTAAAAGTGTTTTTTCCTTTGTATTCCTTGCATCTACGATACTTTTAAGAAAGGTGCATTAAAATCGAAAACCGTTGTAAAGCACTTTCTTGTAAGCAGTCAGGTAGTTCAGTCTTTTAAGCTTTTAACCGACTTATTAGAAAGTGCGTTAGTCTAAACACCAAAGGCGACTAATAAAGAGAGCAAAGTCACCTACAATTCTAAAAGAAAATATATGACGTTCCGAAAGTTGGGATCCTTGCGCCTTTCGTTGCGTGTTGAGCCTGTCTAGCTGACTTTGATTAAATCGCTCCTTTTTTTTTATTTTATGAGTTTGCTTCTTTTTTTTTTCTTCTATTTAATCTATACTTTATTTTTGTGTTAACGGTTCACAAGATTTAAATCTGATTACATATAAAGGTGAAACAGTACGAGACCAATATGTTGTCAGTGTTAATAATAACGCACGTACGTTATAACGTGACAACAGAGAACAAAAGAGAGGTTGATTATTATTCATACTTGAGACACGCTTTTTGTCTACAGAACACGACATCATTATGCATATTGATCAGCAGACTGATAAAAATCAAAAGCATAGTAGTGTTTGTTTAATAATACGGCAATTCTACCCTACGATAAATCGTATAGATAACTCAGTGAACCACTATGTACCATTTCGACCGGATGTTCCTGTTCATCAAGTTTTAGCCAAAGACAAGTCGAAAATGAAGACAAATTTTGATCATTACCTGTAACGTTTCGTGAAGCTGGGTTGATCGAGTGATGGTTATTCGGAGGTTTCTTGTACTTCTTGGGCGATGTATATTAAGAAGACTGCGAGTACTACTTTGTCTCCTTGTCATTCTTATTATATCAATGATATACATCACCTTCGTGACAAACAATCGTCTTGAGCTAGAGATCACTCCCCATCTTGGCATAATTAAACCAAAGATTCACGTCAAGATGGCAGGACGAAGTTTAAGCTCTCTCGCTATTATAGGCACTGATATTTCTTCCAAGAAACTGAAACTACTGTCTGCGAAGTTTAAATACCTGTTAATATTACCTCACGCTACTCAAAGAGTAATACCAGCAATGGGAGCTCCTTTTATTGGGAATGTTGACAAACTGAAACTGCAAGAAATCATGGAATTTCTCGATAGCACTGAAGATATTTATCACGCTGGTACTTGTCAAATGATGAACTCTAATAAACCAGTCGTGAAAAAATTATCGTGTTATTTTGAAGTACGTAATTGGACTATGTTGATCGAAAATAATGGGAGAAAGAGAACCGAGGTTAAATCGAATCGTCTAGTGAATATAGTGGAATGCAACATGTTTGAAGGGGCATTCGTTATTCGAAGGAGAATATTCGAGAAGTTTTATTTACTTCCTGCTTACGGAGATACAGTTTTATTCGACTTTTTCTTACGAACGAAAGGGAAAATCAAAATAGCTTTGTTGACTGATTGTTCATTGAGTGATGAACTTCATCGTGCAGACAGAGGAGCCTTGAGAAGTAAACCTTTCTATACAGACTACATTAAATTAGGCTTTGACCACGATGTTGTACGGATTATCAAAGAAAATCAAATGATATGGACCAAATGCTCTTACAACTTAAGACTTTGCCCCGAAAAAGCCCTTCAACTTAAATACTCGTTGTCAAGGCAACTGAGGCCCGTATGTTGTAGTGAGGTATTGGATAGGATGCTAGTAGATGTAGTGCAATCGATGAACGCCGTCAGCTTGGATTATCGGGTAGAGTACGGGACACTTCTTGGAGCGGTAAGATCAGGAACGATAATTCCGTGGACTAGGGACGTGGACATTGGATTACGAGAAGACGATTACTTCAAAGATGAAATATTCGATAAACTAAAAGGTATTTTGGAACCCAAGGGGTACTCGGTTCCTTTAGTCAAGGGTCAGAGGCGGGTGGTGCCACTATTCCCCCCACATCAGTCAGTCAATTTTTCGCTCTTTGATGATTTTGTCAAAAGGAAGCTCTTCATCGACAAAGCCCTTCGTACCATCGAGAAAATGGCACGAACAAAGACTGGGTGGCAAGATCTTGGATATCTGGACTTTTACATTGCCAAGAAAGAGAGGTTTGATAGTCTTACAAAAGTTAAGATTAATGGCAGGGATTACGTCACATTTGCTAATGCAAAAGAGGTGCTCAAGGAATGGTATGGACCGAGTTACATGAAGGGTGTTAAGAAGAAAAGCGCACCAGTTGAAATAGATATCGTTAAGCGTAGGAAGCAAAGAACAAATATTGCAAGAAAAGTACGCAAAAAATTGCGCGCACGACGTCAAAGTAGGGGGAGAAAGGAAAGGAAATAGGACAAAGGTACTATGACACTAGGATAGGGCTACGTGAGTCTCAAAGGATTACAGAACATATCTTGGGCTTAACGTTTTCTAGCGATTTCACGTGTCATTCTCTAGAGTATCATTTCTTTGTTTACTGCGGTTTTCGATATCCTGCGAACTTGCGATCTGCTCCTTGAAATTTGGTTTTGGTCAATCACAAATAATCAGTCGGTACCTTTTGGGTTCTTGACAAATGAATATGGATACAATTCAAACCAAGAATATTATTTTTTCTACCTAAATAGTGAATTTTTGGTCTAGAGCCGAGAAATAGAATGACATACCGGTAAATGACGTCAGCAATTCACGCGCGCGCTTAAAACCGTTTTTCTTTCAAATTTCCCCCTTGTTTTGCAGTAAAATTGTACCAATTTCCTCCAGTTTTCCATGGTATATCCTCTTATTTACCACGATTTTCGTTATCTAGCCATCTCGCCTACGCCTCGCGAGTCCACAACATTTTGTCGGCCAGATGTTCAAAATCGTGGTAAATAAGAGGATATACCACTGAAAGCTGGAGAAAATTGGTTGTGGTCAATACGGCCAAGGTAAACAGCCCCATATAATCATAAGCTTGAACATTTGTTTTTAGTTAACGTTTTTATATTAAAATACATACATACTCTTCTAAATAATGAAGAGCACCCGTGCAAGGCAAATAACTATCTTGCTAATAAATACATGCATCAAAACGCGATGGACTTTTATCACACGGCGGCGGCCATATTTTCATGAGAATAATTTGCTATTTTTGCTATTCACTCGCCAGGAAGAGGGAACTGAAATATGATATGTTTGAGGTCGTGAAGCCGGCAAAACACAAGACTAAACGCTTCGTAGGTCTTCACATGGCATCGCAAAAAAACACCATATCTTTCTCTTCTTGGCTAGTTAATAGATCTTGGCATATGATTTAGCGTAAAAAAGTACGCAAAATGGTTTTGAATGGTAGCAATTAAAAGACATTCAAAGGGTTTTGGCTGGATTGAATAGAAAAGTGGGAGCACCATACAAGACAGTATTAAACCATTGTCGTGGTGCTGGAGCAAGGGGCTGATTTGAAGGCATGTGCAATTCTGTTTCTCTTAGAGGGTTTTGTACCGGCGCCTTACTATCTTTTCGTGCTCCATTCCCGTGCTTGGAACCTTTTTCGGAACTGCATTCTGCATCTTGCTCTACTTCTGAAGGCTTTGGGAATTCGATTAGAGATCGTAAGGCTTGACCGATGGGCTTTGAATCTTCAAGAAGAACTATGATGGAAAAGTAATATTAAGAAAACTACAACACAAACTATATGATTGTATGTCGAGTGTCACAGCAAGTCCAAACTAATAACAACTTTGTTGCCATCGAAATTGAAAGTTAGTGTTTTTCATTCATCTCAAATACCAAATAACCGGTAGGGCTAAAAAAACAATATCAGCATATCAATATCAACCCCAAGTCTTTACGTACCTGTGAAGTATTTGATTAATTTATTTTTGTTATCTTGTAATTGTCCATGCCAGGTGTTAGTCAACACACAGCCTACCCCGGCCAGGGAAAACAACATGGCGCACTCCAAGGGATCCTCTAGTGAGATTTCACTGACACTTGGGAAACAAAATTAAATACATTAGCTATTGCATACCCCACCCTGATAAAACAGACATGGGGAATATTAGTTATGGCATACCCCACCCTGATAAAACAGACATGGGGAA